TTCAGATGCTCTGAAAAAATGTCCAAAAGGTGCTGGAGCCCTGTTTCAGGATGCGCGTCCTATCGCGTCGCTGGAGTAAGGGCGAGCGCGTGAATGTCCTCACTTTAAACGGTATGAACTGAGTGTGTAAGACTGCCGCATCCCGCAGATGCGATGGATCGCGAGCTGGGGTAAAAGAGCTGGCAGGGGCGTTGTTTTCCTCGGTCTGTGGTGTGGACCAACCGAACACCTTGCCAAACTCTTTGCCACTGTGCGTTGCGTTTTGAGCTGCTAAACTACTTGTGAAGCTATGATGAAAGCTGAATAACTGGTTAGTGACAAAGCATGAGTAACTGTAACCGGTAGTTGTCCTTGTCTCGGCCGGCTGTACTGACGTTCATTTCTCTGTGACTGTTCCACAGTGTAAGCGCTGTACAGCTCATAGTTTAAAACTGTTTGCACTTTGTTAATAAAATGAATGTTGAAATGCGGTGTGAAGTTTCAGACGTTTGTGTGTAAATAAGTGAAGTGGTAGAGAATGACTGTTGGGGTAAGTACTACACTGCTACCACGCTTGGCTTGCTCTTTACTACCGAGCTGCTGCAATGCCTCGCTGCTTGGAGAAGAACTTCCTCCTGCCATGTACCTGTCACTTTTTTTTTTCCCCTGAACAAAAAGCACTTAAATCCACCTGGGACTTTTAAAGCTGTTACGTTTGCAGAAGCCAGACCAAACGCTTCAATCTCAGATTTGAATGGGAATGGAGGATCCACAGTTTTTTATCCATAATAATTTGGCTCTTTGTACAGTAAGTTTCTGTGTTTCTCAGCAAAAGGAAGGAACTACAGCCCTGAGCTGCCTTGTGCGCAGATCGTTCCAGCTGCTGAGCGCTGAAGGTGGCCTCTGACCAGCTGCACGCTATGACGGTGCGTTGTGAGTGTTTACCGCTGTACAGGACTGCATGTTGGCCATTACACACAGCGCAATTAGCAGTAATCACAGAGCTCTGCCTCTTCAACGCTCACAGACGCTTTACTCTTAATAAGAGGCCCGAGCTGGACAAGAGAGGAGCCAGTACCACCACCATTTGCTCACCTTACGAAGAACTTGTTTAAAAACCAGCTGTATGTAAATAAGAGGTAGGGGAACAGGCTTGGAAGGCTTATTTATCTAATTAACTCTCACTGTGCCGTAACAGCCCCTTCCCTTTCTGGCTGTAAAACGGGTCAGGCCGGGGCTGATCACACGGCCCCCATCACATGCAGCAAATCTGCTTTCACCACAGTAAGGACACTTAATTGCGATGTTGGTTGCTACCGTTCTTAGCTCTTAAATAAACAGACTATCTGAAGTGTGGCTTAAATTACTGTTTTATTAAGATATTGGTAAAACTTCAACAGGTTTTCTGTATAAACAGCTTTCATAAATAAAATATGGATGACTAATACATGGTTATAACTAAAGTCATATGTGAACTGTAGAACAAGATTGCAAATGGAAAGTCCCAACATGGTTAAATTTATTCGCTTCATAAAGAACACGTTAGTTTCATGAACAAGACAATACAGAAGGGTCAACAGGAGCACCCAGCGTAGCAACTGACAGCACGCCTGGCTCTCTGCACGAGTACTCGCACAGGAGCAGAAGTACTTGGGGTGATCTCGGCCAGCTTCCCCTGTTCTTGTTCCAAGATGTCTTCTGGAGTGAAGGAGAGGAAAAACCTAACAAAATGCAATTGCAACATACAATGGTTGTACTAGACCCTAATAGGTGGGGTTTATTTTTAATTTAGCTTTAATGCTGGCAAGTATAGTGCGATCGCCTGATTAGCGAGGACTGGAAAAGGATGTGAAGGTTTAGGTCAGAGGTTGTGTTAATGCTTCATTGTTACTTATTGCACACGATACAAGGGTAGAAAGTCTCGTTCCTGTTGCAAAGAGGATATGAATTAAAGAAAGATTGCCCTAAATTACAGGCATGAACAAAGCTGCGGTATCCCCTTCGATGGCTTTGTTTCTGTGACTAGTGCCGAGTGAATACATTGTGCTAAACCAGTCCCTAATTTAGACCAATCTTTCTCATTTTTTTCCCCACAGAACATTGCCAGGGTCAGGAGGATTTAGTGAGGAGATAGTGGACCTGAACGACAGCAGCCATGTCTATAAACACAGAACTTGTTATGCCTCGTCTTATCTGCCCATAGGACAACGCGTTTCTCACTGACACACAGTGTTCCAAAAACAGAGCGGAGTTTCTATGACGATGCACCACTATAAATGTGGCGTAAGTTAAAGTCTGCTTTGACATTGTCCTTCAGTGTTACGATGCAATCTAAATCAAATACTGAATGGTTTGAACTTGCAAGGACAATTGATGGCACTTCTAGGTAAAGAAAAGTTATATACATGCGTTTCCACCCACCCTTAGTGCAAATCGAAATGGGTTAACAGCTCCCTGGTCTGGTGCTATACTGCTCTCTGCAACGCAGACGTTCCTCAGAGTTGCACGTGTAAAAAGTGTACGCAGGAAACTACCAGAGTGGGGACTGAGGGAATCCCGCTAGTACTCACAGTGAAGAGCTGACGAGCAAGTTTTGAGCAGCTTCAGACGAACGGCCTGGAGCCCATTTCTCAAAACCAACACAATTTAAAGAAGGAAACACAAAACCAAAAACGTGTTTTCACTACCTACCTCCTAGTTCTGCAAACACGGTTAACACGTAAACTGAAACTGATGCGGGCTGTGTTAACGCGGAAAAGGGATACTTCAGCTCTTTATTGGAAAGATTCGTTATACAAATTTCACCACCACTAAGATACACGATAAAAATACAAAACACAGGTCACAGACTGAATCTCAGTATCAACAGTTAATAAATACAGTTAGATACTTCTATATTAGCCTAATATTTTTACATTGTCACCAGATGATAGACAATCAAAGTACGAGATACAGAACACTTAGATACCGTTAGAGAGGGATTATTGCTTACGTTAGCAAGCAGCAAATAAGGGCACAGGATTTTGAACTGAAGAGAACTACTTCCTATCACCAGTGGCATTAAGAGAAAACACTGCATTTCACAAAGCACTGCTTTTTTGTCTAGTGTGTAGGATCAAGAGCAGCATATATCAGACCAATAACCACTACTTTGAATATTATAGAACTTTAAAGGACTTACCTTACAAATGGTTCCTATCTACTCTATAAATACGCGTTTAGTGAAGAAATGAACACTTGCTATCTATACAATGTTTTTACCTGACCACACTGGAACTACAATGGTGGATTTTTTTTCTCCTAGCAAGATAAATGGGATGAGTCGCAGAATCGTCATCTATGAATCCACACCTAAAAAGCTAGATCCTTCCCAAAACAGCACACATGCAGTCCAGCGCTCCTCAACTGCTCCTGCAGGCTGGGAAGAAGTTTTTATCATCCGTAACGGTTTTTCATTCTAATTTACTCATACAAAGAATTGCACTTACACCACCTTTCTCGCCGAAGCACGACAGTCAGCTATAAGATGGACTTTCAATGCGTCATTATTACTGTGAATAATTTAAAACAAAGGCACCGCAGAGATGCCCCAGAGTTGCATATTTTACCCTTTCCTGGTTTCTCTAATTTCCTCCGTAAATCTGACTCGGAACATACGCTGCGGCTAAAGAGAACGTTGACAACAGCTAAGGCTTGATAAGATGACAGATAAGAGCCAATGATCCCGTAAGAATAAAAAAAAGCCTGAAAAAGATCAAAGGAATCTAAAGCCACGCTCCAACTCCTGGTTACTCACGAAGCCTTTTGCTATTCATCAGATTGCTTTTAAAATAGTGCATCAAAGATAGAAGAAGCGGAAATTGGCAGAATTCAAACCTTGCCATCTCGTCGTGTTGAATAATCTCCTGACTACTTAATATTAAAATACTTTGCAAATTCTAGCTAAATACTAATACTGTTACGAAATTGTTGCTGCTAAAATGATATGAATTGTACAATAAACGCCTGTGAAGACTTACTTTATTCATACTCTTCCAAATGTCTTATCGTAACAAAGAACAGTAACAGGATGTGTATTTAGTGGAGCTGACGGGAATCGTCTGCTTACTTACGTCCCAATTAACCTCTCCCCTAAGGGTTTAACACCACCTCGAGAGTAGGGGAAAGCTGGTGGGTACTGTTTGCTTCCCAGTTTGGTAAATAACGCTCTGCTTATGACAATACGGGCGAGTGACACGCCTCGCTTTCCTTTCTCGACCCGGGTTTAACCGAAGCAGAGCTCTGGCTTGTCAGCGAGTTTTACCCTCTCCTCGAAACCCCAAGCACAGCCCCCGCTCATCCGCATCCACGGCGTTTCCGTTGGCTTTGGATTGCTCCGGCAGCCCAGGCATCCATTCCTACACGTGCTGGAAAACACCGAATTGCAGCAATACTGCTCCTTGTAGACACCGCATCCTACCGTCCTTCATGCTGCAACTTGATATTAAATTACGCCTTTGCCATCTAGAAATCATTACCGAAACCAAACGGCTCATCAAATTGCTCATTCTCTCTCGCAAGCAGTTCTCTGGTTTGACTGGTTGAGTGACAGGAGTATTGTACTGAACATCTCCACAGATTGGTTTCTTTTAAGACCTGAGATGAAGTTACGGTGGAAAGAGGTTGGCTCAAAGCATTAAGCACAATCATGTTCGGTTAAAACTAATTGAGAACAGTTTCCTAAACTGACAAACGAGAAAAATGCCACTAAAAGCACCAGAAAAATATGAAGAGACAAAATTCCCAACCCTGCCCCTCTAGCCATAGGAAATAATTTTCTTAAAAACTACAAAAAACAGTTTTCTTCATATTCCACATTTTATGTTACATGAAAAAAATAGGTAAATTATGAGTCTGTACCTCAATCGGAGTCTGAGAACAGAGTAGCAGGAGCTTAGTTTGTCCATTCCTAAGTTACCT